GAGGGGGAGGGGGGGGATCGATCGAGAGTCGGGGGGGGGAGGTTGCGCGGGAGCGGGATCGGAGTCGCGACGACGAAGACGATGACGACGACGACGATGACGACGAAGAAGAAGAAGAAGAAGACGAAGAGGAAGAAGACGAAGAAGAAGAAGAAGAAGAAAAAAAGAACGAAGAAGAAGAAGAAAAGAACGAAGAGAAAGAAGAAGAAGAAGATAATTGCAAGAACAAGAGAAAAAAAAATAAAAAAATTTGTTGTCAATTACTTATCTGCACGGAGGTAGCAACGACGATGCTCAGGATGGCACAGAGCGGCGACGAGGACTATGGGAACGGCGATGGTGACGTGGCACGACGACGACGATAGCGACGATGACGATGACGTGGCACGACGGCGACGATCACGACAATGATGCTGGTGATGGCCAGGTGGTGACGACGAAGCAGGGTGGGTCAGGCCCAACCATGAGCCTCTCCGCACACACTTTCTGGACTTGACTCATGGCCGGAGAGGGCACTTCGGCATGGCAAAAACGTACGCTAACCTGCTGAGACAGTTTGATTGGCCTGGCATGAAAGGGACTACTGAGAAGTTTGTTGCTGAATGTCAAGTCTGTCAACGGATCAAACCATGCAGACAAAAGCTCATGGGGCTACTCACACCTCTACCCATTTCCGATGGTCCCGGGGAGTATGTCTCCATCGATTTCACTGACATGGGTAAGGTAAGCAAAAACGGTTATTCGCAAGTCATGGTGATTGTTGACAGATTTTCAAAATTCCTTAATCTGATCCCTTTGCCGCCTCACACCCCAACAGATCTAGTGATTCGCGAATTCCAATAGAAATACCTGCTGCAATTCGGAACCCCGAAGACTCTTGTGAGCGATCGGGATCCGCGTTTCATTAGCACTGAATGGAAGGATTTCACGTCCCACCTAGGAATCAAACTGTGCATGACCTGTCTCTTATACACATCTAGATGTGTATAAGAGACAGGGCTAGAGGAGGGCGGGGGGGTGAAGAGGGGTGACGTGGATGGGCGAGGAATGAGGCGGTGTGTTGGATGCGCCGGATGAGGGAGGAGGTGGGGGGAACGAAATGGTGGTGGAGGTTTGAGGAGGAAGGGTTGGTGGATGTGGTGGTAGAGGTGGTAGGAGTGGAGAAGGTCGGGGGGAGGGGTGTTGCTAGAGGCGGGTGTGGAGGAGGG